GCCATCTGTCAAGCAAAGATCAGCACTTGAATCTTCCTTTGGAATAAGTAACCTTGATTCCCAGGTAATTGTTCTGATGTAGTTTTGTATGGTCCAATCACCTGCACATGTGTATGCACAGACATTAGAAATGTTCTACTACTTTTGTGCCAATTATTATTAAATGACACTGACTCTAAAAAACCTGGCATCTAATTTTTACTTAAAATATCACCTTGAATCACACATTAAGTTTGCAAGAATAAAGGAAATGATCACCAACTATAAAATCTCATGAATGTGGAAAAAATTCTCTCTGTTGGCACCTAAGTAAATTTTTAGAGAGCAGTATTGAGATTATGCTTACTGATGATAGAATGTAAAGGGTCAAATTATTTTTATAAACCTTTATATAATTTTTACAGTGAGAAGATATTGTTAGGAGAAAGTATGTCAAGCATTTAAATTGTTGATTGACCAATCCAAACTGCATGTTTTTTGCAAAAGTATGGAATCTTTTGGGCTGTACATGGTGCATTTTATAGTAACATGATTTTCATGCACCAATGGATTCATCACCTCTTTTGTAAAACTTTGTAAACTTTATAATTATAGCACTTGAAAGGATTGCAGACCTTCCACTTATCTTCCACTTGCTATTCACTAAAGTCAAACTCAACTTACAGCTGTACAATGTTCACAGGAGAAAATGATTTTAATGGTGACATAATTTTGTACATTATTTTATATTTTTCCTGTGAAGGTATTCTTTGTTTATGAAAAAGATACAGCTTACAAGCTATTATTTACAGTGTATTAAATCTGTTTTCACAATTTCAAGTTCTGCTAAATTGTATACCATTTACACACATCCATTTTCAAGTTCATGTCACCACTGAAATAATTATTTTACATCTTGACAGTTATTTATGTCTGCCAATGAAAGAAAATTTGTTAACCAGCTTGAAGAAGAGGTGGTAAGAGCTTTTAAACATAGCACTCTCACAGTAATGTAGCTTTTGCTCCATTATATGCTAAGGACTCAGCTTTTAGGCTCCCTATCACTTTTTAGTACAAATCTACCAACATTCTATCCCAAACAATCTGATTGGCTGTGCTACCTATCCCAATTGCTACAATCTGATTGGCTGTGCTACCTATTCTGTGGTAAATAGTAAGAAAGGGGGTGCTCTAAGTAACAGTGTGTGGTCTTAAAGTAAAATAAAGATCTGAGTCTTTTCTGTTGATAAGTTTTGAACGACTGGTACAGTATGTTAAACAATTACTCTTTGAGAACGCATTGGATATATGGTGGTAAATAGCCAGTAAGTTGTATAATATTGAGTTGGCTAATATTCAAATAGCCTGAATAGAATAACTGCTTTATTAAATTTCATTAAATCCTGAACGTTTGGATATTTGAAGCATTTTTCAGCTCCACAACAGTTGGTGCAACACTTTCCCTTATATTGATGAGGCTTTCTCCTCATCAACTACAGCTGCACATGTATCAGGGGATAGCAATCTCAAGTTAATAATCCATTTGTTAAATACCACATTAGGCTTCCAAGAGTTTTATTCCCTTTTTGAAATAGAATTTACCCTCAAATTACCCACCAACTCTGTACAGTTTACGTTATTGGTTTCTATCATTAAGCAAACTGTTGCAGAATTGAACGTACATTTACTGCTTTGTCATTTACAGGAGAAAATCCGGAAACTGCATGAAGCAAAGACAAGACATCTGGAGTCTCTTCTTTATTCAACAAGGTGATGTCGCGTTCCAACTGAGTAACAACTTTCTCACCTTACCATCTTGATTTTATTTTGTGTGTTTGTTACAGTTGTTCTTACCATGATGTTAATCCTTTATGAAATATTTTCCTTGACATATTCTTCTTAGTGAATTATCCAGCTGTTCTGAGTGAAAAATAAGCTCTTTTTCATGGGTCTCTCTGAGTGGACAGACATTAGAGTGTATTTTCGCACCCAATAGAGGCCTTTGTTCTTTTAAGATTAATTAAAATTTAGACATGCTACAGCCTCTATGAGATATTGCTGATGAGTTTGTGTAGCTTGATTTAACAATGAACTTCTGCTTCATTTTGTCATCATGCTCTTTGTCACTGGTTGCCCGACTTTAATGGGGCCATCTCAACCTTTTTTCTTTTCTTTTATAATTTTAATTTTTTTAGAGATGAACTTGAAGACTACCAGAGGCAGTTATCAGAGCTGCAAGCAAAATTAAGGTCAGTGAAAATGAGATAGCAAACTACAATTATATGTTGTTTTTGTCACTTAGAAGAGTAAAGTATAAAGTACTACTTCTACTTGTTAATGCCAAGTTCTACTTGATGTTCCTGTCATTTTTTTCGAAATTATTAATTTCCATATATTAATTTTACCTGTCTTGCAGAGCTCAAAAAGTATTAGAGGATCAGGTCAGACAGTTGCACGGTTATGTCGTTGTTTATGAGTTAGAGATTATTGATTTGTCAAATTTGGGAGTTTTTTTGTTGTTTTTGGCCTGGTTTGTCTTTTGGTTCTGTTTTATGGTATTGTGAGGCTTTTATTGCCTTAAAAATTTGCTATGGACAGTTTTCGTCAAGATAGTTCCTATTTGATGTTGCAAAGGGAAAAAGTACTCTTGAATACACTAGAAAGAAATCTTAATAAGTAATGTTTTGCGAGTGTGAACAAAATCGAAGGTGTACGAACAAGAATGATTAAAGATGGATTTTAAAAGATGTATTGAGGATGACTTTCTCTGGATGAGCAAAGTGTTATTTAACCCTTTACTTTTATTTCTGGATATGCTTGCGAGTAATGACAAAGTGTACATCTTTTGGTTATTTTATCAGAGAGGTCAACCAGCCTTGTGCGTCAAATGTGGTCATCATTCTGCCGTTTTGTCCAATACACACAGTGAAGCAGCCATAGACACAATCAATCAACTGACAAAGTAAGAATCTGAACGGGTGTATCAAGAAATACCCTGAGGCCAGGGAAGGTTTCTTAGAGTCAATATTTAAAGTGAATCTAGTACGACACACGACTAGCCGTGTTCAAAACAGACCTTGGTAACAGCCCCCCCCCCTCCCCCGCCGAAATCAAAGGTCCTCGCATGTACTTAGTGGATTGAGTGGATAAGCTTCGTTGTCTCCCATCTGCTTCATTATAGTAAACCCAATGTAACCAACATTTAAAATAAGAACTTGTAAGTTTGCTTGGTTTCGTTCTGTTATTGTTATTGTTATTTTTTTTTCTGATTTTTTTTTTTTTACATGTCTGTTTATATTTTTGTTTAATCTCTTGTACATCTTTCCCTGTTTTCAGAGAGAGGGATGATTTGATGAACATGTTGACAGGGCAGAAAGCCGTCTTAGCTGAGGTTCGCCAGCGGGAGTTTGAAGCTTACAACCAAGTGAAAAAGAGCTGTAATATGGTGGAACAGGCTCAGCTAGAAAAGGCAGAGGTATTGTGATGTCAACATATAACTTAAATGAGTGTACGTTTACAATACTTTATATTGGGGTGCATCATACATGATTTTGCTGCATACATTTTGCAGCTGTTGCATATTTCCAATATTAAGACAGCGAGTGGAAGTCGCCATGGCTTTTTATCGTATAAAATTTCGACCTCAACGCGGTCCTGTTGTTAGGTAGCTGGTCACCCGCGAATAATTGGGACCAAACTTAAGAAAGACGATATTGAAAGGCTTCAATTGTGTTTAATTCTGGGTGTGAACTTTCGCTAGGCCATCATTCATGTTCGCCAGCTCCGAGAAGATTTGCGGAAAGAACGAGAGCGACACGAAACCAGCATGAGAATGTTCAGCGAAAAAATGGACATGGAGAGGAAAAAGGTGCAAGAAGCATGTCGGGAGGAAGTCAGTGGTCTTGTTAAACAGGTGCTTTTGGAATTTTTTCGTAAATTTATATGTTAAGTAAATTTGTGTGTGTCTGTTTTTGTTTCTAACCAAGCATGAAAAACATTTCATGGCTTCAGAGTGAATTAATCGTATAATTTTGGGTGAAGAGCATCTGAACATCTTCGAACTACAGTACTACTGTAACAGTAGCTAACGGCTAACGGAATAACACGTTGATTTAAAAAATCACAAGACATATGCTGCAAACGCAGTCAGTAAGAAATAATTGTACCAGACATAGCGAGGTTTTAACGACTCAGGGAGGATTGGAACCTCATGTGTTCAAAAAGTGGAAGTTTGTCAGTTTGACGGTAATCGAAAGCCCAGACGCCTTTACAAATTTCATTTAGTCAGGATTGTCCCTTTAAAAGTCCGAAGCCGTAAATTCGAACGGTCGTAATTGTCAATGACATAATAAAGATGGTGAAATGAAATGAAGAAAGACGTATTTTCGTCTTGTCACGGGCCTGGGACAACGAAACTTCCGAATCCCTAGAAGGAACCAGACCTCAGACCTTTAGATTCTGCGCTTCGATGCTGACCCCACTGAACCACAGAGACGCTACGGCGATTTAGGGCATCACAAAGTTCACATGTGACCGGATACTGTTAAGATTAGCAAAGACGAAAGAAAATGGAGAAGTGTGTCTTATTGCGTGGAACATACGTGATGGTCATCATACAACCTTGGCAAGTAGACATGTGTTTTTCCGATCGGAGAAAAAAACAAACAGGCTCACACTGTTCCTTTTTTTCGGTGAATATTTTCATGAACGCCACGTGATAGCTGAGGGTAAGTTTCTTTTAAATACTTTTATGGTGCAAATTTAAAGGTATAAATGTTAATTACTCTTCCCGTGGTGTAAAAACATCTCAGGTTTTCTAAAACGTAACTTTGAACGGCTTTTTTGAAATGGGAATTTCAACGGCAATCCATGGAGGACAGAGATCACATTTTGTTTAAAAACCAGACTTCCTCACAAATAAATATTATCTCTACTGAAGAGAAATTCGTTTGAATTTCTTCTCTGGCCTTATTGAGCTTAATGGCCAGTATTGGGAAACTGGGCCTAAATAACCAGGATTTTCTTTCCCAGTCTCCCCTTCTGGTGTTGACAAAGTGAAAGCCGGCAGCGAGCAGAAAGGTAGGCGATGTCTTCCTCATAATGGCCAAAATGTAAAGTGATAAACGAGATTAGAGTCTATCTTTGTGTTTTTATTTTCCTTTAGTTAGCTCGAGTGTTCTTTAGATACCTGTTTGCGTTTTCTGAGAGGTTTAATTTTTATGTATTCCAGGCGAAGCGACCTGAACACCGGAAGCGAAGCCACAAGTAAAGAGGTGGTTTCAAAATATCATTATCGTTGGCGGTAAGTACAGTGTATGTGCATACATTTAATAAAACATGTTCATTTAACCCGGCAATAAAATTGGAACCATAATTGCTGAAGAATCAATTGGGAATAATAGAGGATGGCTGAATTGATTGAATTGCGTAGTAACCTCTTGACGGGTCAAGAAATTTTACCGTTTCTTTATCGCCATTCTTTTGTTGACTGGTTGAATGTAATTTTTGTTGACATATTGTTTTCAGTTAAGGTTCAGCCGATGCACTGTTACAATTTGTCTGTTTATAACCATTCCTTATTTTACTTTCGTTTGGCGAGTTTAAGGTGAAACATGTTTATTTCCATCAAAGTCACATGATCTAGTTCACGCAATAAAGTTGTTTTCTTTAGCTTCATAGTCATAGGTTGGTCACGTGGTCCGAAATGGGTAAATAACAGTGGCGGCCTTGAAAGTTAACTGCAAAACGTAGAGGGTTGTCCACTATCGTTGCGTTTGTAACTGCCACAGTACTTCCACAAATTCGGATTTGTCTTTTCATAAATACCCTGTGGATGCTAAGCTTCAGATGATAAGTATCCATGCCATATTTTTTCAACCGCTTGTGGCACAAATTTGTGTTTTAATCTGCGTGAGTAAATGGTCCGAATATAAGTTAATCTCTTCCCGATTTAAAAATTGTTGTTTTTCAGTTTCTTTTAAAAGAGATATTGACTTTCAGGATGAAATGAGAGCAAAGTATAATATAAGAGTGAGATCTGATACCAAAGTGTGCTCTGAACATTTTGAAGAGGAGGATTTCAAAAGTTCGCAGAAAGACGAATTAAGAGATTGAATCGGATGGCGCCTGTCCTTCATTGTTTTTCTGGTCAACAAGAAGTTAATTAAAAAAGAAATAGTATTTCGTTTTTAGCCATGCCTTATAATGTTAGGCATTGTTGTGACAGGCCAAACTGAATTACTTTAATATCTGGGAAAAACTCAGCGTTGACCAGAAGTTGGACATGAAAATGATAAACCTGTGCGGGATTTCTCAATAGTTCCTCACCGAAATGTGACAGTTTGACCTCACGCAATTTTGACGCCTCCTTACTCTGGGCCCAGAGTTAAACATGACCGAGCGTTAGACATGGCATTTATAAATCACTTCGGGATCGTTTGGCGGTTCCTCATCGACATGTAATAGTTTGAATTATACATTCTCTCAATATGTTGCATTTTCGGAAAAATATCCGACTGCTACTCATTCAGTCATTTGAGAGCCTTGACCAGCTGCCGATCATGTAACCAGAGCGTACCAAACAAAAAAAAGAAAAAACTTCACAGCTTTCGACAAAGTATCTCTTCTTTCTAACCTTAAATCATAAAATCGTCAAAAAGTTATCTTATAATGCATTTGCTTCCCTTTAGTTCCCTTAAACGATCGCAAGAATCATTTTATCGGGCTTATGTAGGGAGACTGTTCTCAAAATTTATTTTTCTTTCCAGGGAAGATGGCGGCTGCCCATACACTTTCGATATCGACTGCTATATGTACTGCCTCATTGACTACCCCAAGCGGTTGGGTTGTCCTAGGAGTCGTTGGTGCAGTGTGTGTAACTGTTGCAGTAGTAACTGTTGTGGTTGAGAAGCGGCGAAAAGAAGGAAAGAGAAAGCAAAACTGATCAGACTCGAATACTTGTTAACATAAAATGTAGATGTCAATGGCGTTCTGAATAGCAAGTTACTTTTTTATCTTCAAAAATTTTTATTTTGTCGCTTTAAATGTTACTTCTTATGATGGATATAAAAAACAGAACTGAGCAGACTAGTGTACTTGTCAAAATACGATTTAGATGTAAAGGATAGACTGTATATCAAAATGATTTTCTGTCATTAAATAGTAGTGTTTAGTGGTGTTTAATTAAATTTTTCATAAAGCATTGCAAAATAAAATTATGAAATCGGTTGGTATAAATGTTTCTCTGATTGTGTAATAGAGTCCTATCAATTCTCATGTCTTTCAACAATTTTTCATTATCTTAATTTCCGTTCAAAGCTTAAGCTTGAATATGTAATGCCACTCAAATAACACCACAGTTGTTTGTAGTTATGCAAAAGAAAGCAGTTTTTAATTAAATGGATCTGACTGTGCAATTTTTTAATTTAAATTAACCCTTTCTCCCCTCCCCTTAAAAAATGGATATATGATATGAAAAGCAAAAACACAAACAAACTACTAAACAGTGAAAAAAAAAAAAAAAAAAAAAAAGGGAAAGAAAAAGAACAGCAACAACGGCAAAATTCACTATGCAAAAATTTGGGTCAATCAATTCATTTACTGTTCCCATACATTCATCCAAATAGGAGATAATTTACATTGATGATTATTTAACTGACTGACACTGTACTTACAGTAGTTCTGCAGTTAATAAAAACACGTTTTTGTAATTATCTTTTGGTATAAGACCGTTCAGGTGAAGGTACAGACGTATAAACTTGTAAGCGGATTCAAACGTCTCAAATACCTCAGCAAACATTTATCAAACTTTAGTCAAAGGTGCCTGACTTGTAGTTTTTCCCAAGTCACCTCTATCACAGTCACTATCACTCCTTTTCAGGATTAGTCTCTGGACAATCTTGTCGCGAGTAAAAAATTCAAATGTTTCTCTCACTTCCAGCAATTAATCAAAGACCATTAAGACTCCTAAACAAAGTTCGAAATTCTGTAATTTAAAAAATATGATTGACGAGTGAAAAGGCAATGGAAAGGAACTTAAAACTGTTATTAATGTGCTTGGGTAATTCGCGGCTAATATGCATGTTTTTTCACTTGATTTCCTGATAAAATTGAGGATGCTAACCAACGACATTTGTCTGTTTCTAACGATTGCCAAGATGGGTAGTGTTGTTGTTGTTGTTGTTGTTGTTGTTGTTGTTTATTTAATTATTAATTTGGTTAATGTTTTGTCTCTTTTCAGTTTTGTTACAGTGCATTGTTGCAATTTTTTTTAAGTTCAAGTTTTTTTGTGTCTTTACTCTCACAGATAGAATCTTCAAGAGAGGCTCGGTCAGCGCTGGAGAACCAACTAGAACGGCTAACACGCGAAAAGGTTCGTGTTTATCGACTTATCTTCTGGGGATAATATACTTATTTCCTGGAGATGATCATTTGCTACGCTTATCCTTGTTCCTCATTCTGCGTTCATTTTTCAGTTTCTTTATTTTTACAATGTGTTAGGTCGACCTGATGGCAGAGCTGGAACAAGCAAACAGCCAAATCCTGGCGAATGTATCTGAAATTTCTAAGGTAAGTCTAAGGTTGGTCCATGCCTTATGACATGAAATGAGAGCTCTAAGCGCGAAGAGATTGGGACGAGACAAGATGGGTGGTGATCCATCTCATACCATAAGTTTGGGTCCGCTTTCACCACACACTTGTTGGATTAAAGTTTTCTTTTATCGGTGGAAAGTCTCTTTGAGTTTGTGGAATTATGACATTCGATGTGTGTTACGTTTCACTGGCGCGTCAATTAGGCTTGTGTAGCACAAGAGACACGTGAAAAATGCAAAGAGTATGTGGAATAGCTCACTCGTATGGTCAATCTAAGGTTTTTGAGTTTTCACCAGGCTAATGAGACTATGGAGAAAGAACTTGAACAAACACAAATCAGATTGTCAACTGCTTCACAAGAATTGCACTCAGTCAAAGCAACTGCTCAGCAAGCGCAGAGGGAAAGAGAGCAGGTAACAGATAAAATAGAGCAAGAAAACGTGTTTGATGTATCCATAGACAATTACAGATCTCTGACCACATTGCTCATGCTCGTCTGTTCAGGAGAGAACACGGCTGACAAGTGAAATGGATGAACTTAGACGGCGTCTCCAAGAAGCTGAACACTCGTGGATGGAATGTAAAGAGGACTGCATCAGATTTACTGAAAGACTCAATACTGCAGAGCGAGAAGTAAGTGCATAACAGCGTTTTTTTCTTTTAGTCGTTTCTTTTCTTCGTCCGTTCGTTTACCCTTCATCCTGCCCTTACCTGGCATTATCTGTCGCGTGATTTAGCAGAGTGGGCTGGAAATATCCCGGCGCCGCGTGAACCGCAGGAGCAAGGCGCAGATTACTCTGAGTAAGACAAACCTATTGTCGATTAGTTCAAAGGCTTTTGATTGTTCATATACAGGCTAAAGGTGCCATAGCTGCGAAAGAGAAGCTGGAGAAAACCAGGGCGGAAGATTTCGAACAACTCCGAAAACAAAGCGGACAGAGAGATGAGCAACTCACCACGCTCTTACAAGAGACAGAAACAAGGCACAGTAAGTGAATTTTTATCGACCATTTTTTCTCTGTGAGTATTCGATTCCTCTTAAGAAGAAATACAGCTGCTGCTTTGTGCCTTATTAGGGCTCGATGCATGCGTAATGTGCGCTATTTTGAATGTTTATTTGGCAAACAAACCAAAAATGCTTCTTGGTCGAAGCTTGTACCGTTAACAACAGTTAAGGCTGGTAGTCATAGGAGACGTAGTTGGAGTCAAAAGCAGAGTCTTTGACCAGAAAGTTTCAGATTTGGGAGAATCAGAGCGTTGTCATTTTCTTCCGATTTCCCCTTTAACCCGGCGCTAACAAACCTGTGGAACTTTATAATCCTTTAGAAACTTTATAGCCTGAGGGAACTTTTATTGGAGATACCGTTAACAGAAGCGGAAGAAACAACCAATCACAATGAGAGGCCCTCTGAGTACGACTTCCAAGAGTTTATAATAAGCGACGGAGTTGAAGGCGGCATCGGTATCCTGCTTCGGATACCATCTGTTTGCTTTCCACTAGATCTTATCGTTCTGCGCTGTTGATTATATTATTACGACGTTGTTAAGAGCAGCTTTTAGTCTTCGGATACGTGTGTTCTTATACCTGAATCGCTCTGCTTTCTTCAGCTCAGTGTAGAACTGAATTGCAGCAGATGCTTGAGGCTGAGATTCAGGTGTGCAACAAAATGAAAGAAGAGTGCAAGAGACTCACTCAGCAGTTGGAAGATTCCGCTGAGAAATCAAGGTAGGTTATTTGAGTAGAGTGTTTTAAACAAAAATAAAAAGAAGGAAAACAAAACAGCTCAGTGACTTCACTAGAGGTTGGGCCCAGACCTCTCGTATCCCGTGTGATAACCTTAGACCACCTGATATCCCATTTTAGTAACTAAGCAAATTCCCACCACAGAGATTTCCATCCCACAATACATTTGGTCGATATTTCCACACCTATTTCCCTCTGTCTGATTGTTTTTTCCTGTCTGATCTGGCCTCTTCCAGAATACTATGAAATCTTTGAAATCAATGATAGGAAATTTTTGGTTGGTTGTATTGTGTTCATGGTGCAAACTGCTTCAAACTACTTTCTTGCGCTCTCAGTCAGAAAGAGATTTATGCTTGAGCATGTTCTCGAAATATTCACCTGGGGTTCCCCTTAATGAGATTTGCATTAATTTAGAGCAAAGGTGCAAGATGCAAACAAGGAATGCAGTAAATTGAAGAAGAAACTTGACGAATCTGTGGCACAGAGGCGGACTTTAGAGGAACAAAACACGAAAAAAGACAAACGTCTACATGAATTGCAGTCTCGTCTCAAACAGAACGACGAGAACGCTCGCAAGCAAGTAGATCAGGTAAAAGGGTTTAGATATATCTGTATACGCTGTTATTATCTTTTGATAGGACGTCTCTTAGCAACGGGTGACTGGCAAAAGGAGATCAACAACACCAACACAAAAACAGAATTAAAACTAGAAAAAAAAAGGGAAAAAAAATAAAAGAAAGAATTTTTCATTTTTGGGGAAAATGAGCAGTTCTTGATTTGATCTTATGATCGAGTTAGGTTGGACCTGGCCATTAAGGATAACAACGACAACAACAACAAAACCAAAAACAAAAACAAAACTAACAACATCAAGAAAACGAACAAATTGATTATTGCAACTAAACTATGTTAGAGATAAGGTATAAGTTGTGATATTTTAGAAGGTTGGAAAGGCAACATGCTGACGTTGGTATTCATGGTTTTGTTGTCCGTATTGTTTATTATTGTTCTCATTATTGTAACTACTAATATTATTATTATTATTATTATTATTATTATTATCATCATTACTATTGATAATATATTTGTTATTGAATAAATGATTTCCTTTTTTGTGAGTAGACGTGTCAGTTGCTTGCCACACGAAATAACTTGATGAAGGAACGAAAATTTTTATGTCAAGAAATCGAATTCTTGAGAAAGCAGTTGATCGCGAAGATACCCTCTGAACCTGTGACACCCTTTATGGAGACTGCCAGTAACTCAAGTGCTGAAGATCCTGGTCGCATGACCGAAGAAAAATAGCGTGACACTTGATGTGTGGCATCCATCGATCTGCTATGAACCCTGTTCACAGATTTATGCCCAGAGACGAATTGAAAAAACGCTGCATTTAAAAATGATAAAATTTTGAATGTAAATTATTAGTATTATCGTTACTTTTATCATCTTTTAGCTTCAGTTTTTAAAACGTAGTGAGATATTTTTTGTATATATCTGCAGGCTTGCTTTTGCTTCTATTTTTTGTTTAGGAAAACGTCTATTTTATCGTTCCCAAAAAGGAAAAGAAAAGAAAAGAAAGCGCGGAAAAAAAAGAACCAGTCTTAACACTTAATACTGTTTGCCTTGTTTTTGCCTCATATACTTCTTAACTGTATAAAAAGAGAAATCGCCATATTAAAATATTATTACTGATAGACGAGTTAAAAATGTAAACATCGAACAATACAATAATCTCAAATAAAGTCTTAGAAAATAGTTTGCTTTTTTCGGTCTTTTGCTCCTTTCTGTCATCAGTCTTTTCTCTTTCTTGTTTATCGCCGACAATCATCCTCACATTTCGTTTTAAATTAAGCCATTCTATTCCCGTGGGATTTTCGAGCAGTTCTTGCAATGGCACGTAAAGCTAAAACTGAATTGTTTAGAGCACGCAAATATGAACCCTTTCATTCCCAAGATCTCCAAAGTAATTTCCTAGTTGTCTCCTATACATTTCCTATGATGATGGTCCTAAGAAACTTGTCTTGGATCAAGTAGTAATACCCTAGTTGAAAATATATATATATATATATATATATATATATATATATATATATATATATATATATATCTGAAAGTTGGACAAATCAATGAGACAACTTTTCTGTGACTCTGAGTTTCACGCTTACGCGATCATAAGACAGGTTTTTCTGATTTCCAAAAATCTGTCTGATAATCGCGTCAGCGTGAAACTCAGAGTTACAGAAAAATTATGTCTTATTGATTTGTCTAACTTTCAGATCTACCACGCTCTGCTAACGCATCGAGCACTTTACCGCAAGGATATACTATGGTCAAGATTTATATATATTTACATTTTTTTTCCCCTCATCACTTGTCTGTTTGATATAGTTTTGAATGAATGAATGAATGAACAAATTGTTTATTAGTCATTCCAGGGAGTTAAAAGACTAAGTGGGGATAAAAGCTGATGTACTTTCAAGGTACAAGGTTCCTTTCATAGCCTCAAGTTTCAGATATTAAGACTACAGCACCTATACTTATATCGAACCATGTCCTCTTCGTAATTGCTGGCTAGGGTCAGTACAAAACTCTGCAGGAATTTATTAGGGTTACATCGGACCCACGGTCCATCCAAGTTTTCAATGGCTACATTGGCTTTGTGTTTTGCAGTGAAAGCCAAGTTCGTCAAATCTGTTCAGCACTTCCTTTGTCTTGCCTCGAAGATTCATTCATTGGTTGTTTATGTCCTAATTGATAATCAGAAGAGTTATTAAAATTGTTAAAAAAGACCTTTTTGAGCGCGATAGTTCAGTAGGTGTCCATCGTACTTGACCATACAAATTTAGAATATTCATAAGACTAGCGTTTTAAAAAAACACATCAAATCTTTCCTCAAACCGGTTTGTGTTAAGTTTTGTTTCCATTCCTGCTACCTGTGACCATTTTTTTCAGTGTGTAATTGAAATTTGTTTCATAGTTGAGATTGCACTGCAGGGTATGCCCTTTCACCATAGGACAGGGTTGATTTAAAGTTGAATTACCGTGACAGTATGTAGTTATTTAGTCAGTTAGTCAATCAGTCAGTCACTTAGGTGAGAATATCGAATATGCTGAATATGTGCATTAACTGGGTATTGCATGATATATATTGCACGATGAGTTAAGATTGAATTTTTAACGTTCCTATATGTGCTTTAAAAATTAAATGACTGGAATGATTGAATACCAATGGACAAAGGGATAGATTTCATACTGAGGACATTTTGGATTGTACTTCTACAGTTAATAAACATATTCAGCATATTAGTTATTCTTGGCCATGACCTTTAAACCCCAAAAATTATACATAGTACGGTTGGGCTGCCTGTGGTCAAACTGACAGTCAGTCTATGTGAAAGTCACTTAATTAGGCAGTCACTCAGGTAACCAGCCACGGCTGGTTGACACACTCACTAATTATATTGATGAAATGCTCTTAACCACTCATACAGAATGATCACAGTTATATGAAGCTTAAAAATCATTACTGAAAGCGCAGAACACAATTGACTTTTCATCTTCTCTCTTTACCATAATTATAGAATGCTCTGGATTCCTTCAAACAAAGAGCAGAGCATGAGATTAAAGAATATGCAAACCTGTTTGATCAGCTGAAGACTCGAGCCATTTCCCAAGTGCTATCAACAGGAGAACAAAGCAAGCCTGAGGTAACAAGTGTACAAACTGCAAAAATTTTGCATACCTTGCAAAGAGGTGAAAAGGTTAATTCTGAACCCACAAGGCCCAGGTGCTTTCCTTTGGCTTTGTAGCATGAAGTGACCAAAAGTATTATGTCACTATACCCCTAATCCACCATAGGTTGCCCTCTCACCTCCTCCCTGCATCATGTCAGATTTTCCTGACAGCTCTCCAGCACACATTTATACTTCGAGTGGAGAGAGGAATTGTAAGTGAAGAGTGATCTTTCCACCTTAGTCCAGTTAGCTGAGCTTTATAGTCATGGTCTCTAACACTAACTTGATTTGAGAACTATAATTTTTATTAATTTTTCCAGTAGGCTCACTCATCCCATCCTGAATAGGAAGTAGAGTTGTACAAACCTTACGGCCTTCAATTATTAGCTTGACTCTTTCAATAATAGCGACCCTATATCATGATGAAATATCGATTTCAATTCATAATCATAATCCACAATGAACAAAGGCATCTTTTACGTTATGATTCTTACCCACAATGTACATGTATTAAATACCTAATCAAATCTCAATGTCTTGTTACTTAAGAATACAAACGGCAGAGATAATGTGTCACCTGAGTATGCCGTGAGGCCTTATTGACCAAAGAATCCGTTAGTATTTTCCTTGCTGTCAACATTGGCTTTGTAGCATAGTTGGTGATACAGTCAAAATTTGATTATCCGGACCTCGGTTGTCTGGACTTGGTTCTCTGGTCCCACCCTTATATGACAGGAACAAAAATTGAGTCAATCAATTCCATTGCTGTTCCCATACATTCATCCAAATAGGAAATCATTTACACTGATGTTTGTTTCCCTGGCTGACACTGTACTTACAGTAGTTCTGCAGATAATAAAAACATGTTTTTGTAGAAACGAATATGAACGAATATTGGTAGCGCTCTACCAACTGAGCTAACAAGCCAACAGGGAGCTAGTCAGTATGTTGGTTCTAAATAAACTCTCCAAGTGGTGAATAAATGACTGCAAATATATGGAAATCTTGTAATGTGAAGTGCAGTTGAAGAAATGAATGTAACAGCGATCCTCGCAGCTATGACTACTACTTAACTAGTAGTGCAAATAAGGCCCGTGAACCGTCTATAGATGTGAACTGCGGTCTGTTAGCTCAGTTGGTTGAGCGCTGCACAGATGTCGCAGAGGACATGGGTTTAAATCCCGTACAAGCCTGAATTTTTACTTCAGGCCTTATTTTCACAACTATTTAAGAGAGGATGTCAGCATCCATCGCACAAATTTGAAATATTGTAGCAAGTCGCCCAAAATTCGATTTCACTCCTACTTTCATATTTTGTAGCTCAATATGTCCTAATAAGTGTGGTGTAGTTTTTTTGTGAAAATGTATATTTCGACGCCTGGGTATTACTTTTTGATAGGAGCCCAGGTTTTGCGTTGTGTTTTCCCCTCCCCCATTTACATCATAAGCTAGTCACGCAATAATTTATACTGACACAAATGCATATTTACCCAGTATAGAGATTTTTGTTTATATTGAATTGAAAATAATAAAATATATGCCTCTTGTGGTCTCTAATCTTTGTTTCAGTGGCAGTGAAGCAGTTAAAAGCGGGTTGTTGCTTCAACACTATTGAAATTTATAGTATTTATACAGGAGAGCAAAGCGTGATGCTCTGGGAATAAAAACTTTTTGGGGCCTTTTACATGATATCGGAACGAGTTTTGTTCAAGAACGAGTTCCTACCGGTTGCACATCATACCAGAGTAAAGTTTATTCGAAACGAGTCATTTCTGAATGATTTTATTGGGGTTTTCATTCCAGAACGAAACACTCATTCTTGTACCTGTATGATGTAAATATGATACGACTCTTGTATCTGTATAAATACTCTTTAAGAGCGAAGCAAGCATAGAAAAAGACAGAAAAGGGCATAAATAATTGTTTTTACAGGCCAAATTATCTTGCATGTAATCGTGGTATGAAATTCATTTCGTTCCGGAACGAAACTCATTTTGGAATTATGTAAAAGGTATCTTAGGGACGGAACATTAGATTTTTGAGGTGGGGTGCGACGGGGGCAAATCACTTTTTTTTGTCACAGGGGGCAAATCTTTGTTTTTAGGTGCTGACTGGGGGAGAGAAGGCGATCGGAAATGGGTAAGGATGGTTGTTGTACCTTTTAGGGGTAAAAAAAAACCAGAGATCCAGCTGGTACGTGATAGGGTCTTTTTCGCTCTATAAAATACCTGAAAGAAGCATTACTGGGACGATTACAATGATCTGACTTGAGCCTCTAAAGCACATCGATCTAGGAATTTTTATTTTTGGGATTTTTCAATTTTTTGCTTTTGAATTGGTACGTTTCAGGAGTAGACATCAATTGTTGCCACTCTCACACAGATAAGACTCAGGTACTTTTTATAATTTCATAGGGGTCGTTTTCGAAATTCCCGGCGCGCACCCCTACCCACTTATGTAAATGTGTCCCCCGGGGGTGATGATACGTGCAGCACACTTGAAATTTAGCAAGGACAAATTTTGATGTGATTTTGTGCGAAGAGAAACAAGTTTTTTCAGCGTCTAGTAGCTTGTGCGGGGGGCCCTTGACCACCTTGTGCATAAATACGAGTCCCGCCTAACAGCGGGAAGCCAATAAAGAGT